AACATCGTATGTTTCACGGGTGGTACGAGAATTGCGAACCTCGACTCCGAAAGCCCTAAGTGGAAGACTTGTAATAGAGTCCATAAAGTACTATAAAGAACCGTAACAATCAATCAATGATTGTATTGTGCTCAGACGAACTCTTTGAGTTGGTGCCTCCGTCACTCTTTTACCACTGCACGACCCGCCGAAGGAGAAGACTCCATCCCCACTTCCTCGATGCTTGGCACGTCATGACCACTCGAGCATCTCGTTCGTTCCTTCCCCGAACCAGTAAGATGTGGAATGGCCTTCCTCCTGAAGTGTTCCCCTTGCGCTATAACATGGAGTTCTTCAAAAGACGTGTAAACAAGGTTCTCCGGAGTCGGCAACGCATGGGTGATGCCTCTGGTATTGCTCGTGTCCATGGGCGACAATGACCACCTCCCATCAAGTGGCTTGTCTGCTCGTTTGCCTACTAGTTAACATAAAAAAAAAATTAAAAAAAAAAGTATTAGAAATAATATCTATGTAAAGGTTCCAAATTTAATTCAAATTATATCGGACGAATTCTTCAAATATTCGTCGCCACGGTAATGCATTCGTTTCGCATAGTGCGCGCGCGTCGGTTTGTGCATCGCTGCAGGCGCCGCTCGGGCCCTGTGATCTGTTAACGATACCGTACCCAGTGTCCGACGGTCTTGCACTTGAATTGCGCTCATACAATGAAGGTAAATGCTGTATATTAATCATTAAAATGATTTTGCTTTGACCAAAACTTACTATGTTTAAATAGCCTTTGCTTCTGCATGTCGTCCGATATCTCCACATCATAAGTAACTAAGCATTTATAGGTTAGACGCAAGTTGGAACGTATTCATTAACTTTCAAAAGTGGGATAACTAGTTGCTGCTCCGTATCTATAACTATAATGGACCAAGATACCAGAACTTCATTTCCATCCTGCTAGTTAGTGTCTGTTAATAAACCCTACGTTCACGCCCCGCAATCTGCATCTACTAAAATATGATACCCACCGCAAATGAATCGTGAACTATTAATTTCAAGTAATTGATCATTAAGATGTTAATTACCTACGCAACAGGTTGTCCGACGATCAAATTGGATAATTTAGATTGTCTATTGTGGAGATAAGAAGAATAATATTCTCGGTATGTTCAGTGTTACAACACGTGTTATAACATCAATTAATCTTTTCTAACCTCTGCTGTCGAAGGCAGGCCGCAAGCTATGCGATTTTTTGTCTCGCTCAGCGAACGATGTTAGCAATGTCTATACAATCTTTGTTATGGGCTCGCTAGCTGTCGTTATGTAAAGTGTCTGAACTATAGTTATTTATAGGTGAAACTATTGGGGGTGCCACCGCGTCTCATGCAAGCACTCGTAGCTCATGGTGATAGTGTCTATGTGCAGCGGTGACCTGCTAGTTAGTTTCAGGTGAGCCTATACATTTTGCCACCTCCATTGAAAACTCCTTCCTCGTGTAAAGTGCTGGTAGCCCAGTGGAAAAACGGGATGAATAAGCGACACATTGCAAAGATCTAAGAGACACCCCACAGTAGCGTCTTTCGAGCGCTAGCGTCTTGCCAACACACGCACAGCGTCGACACGACGTCCGCGCGGCAGCAACGCAACTCCAGCGCGGCGCGTACAACGTAATAATGTAAATAAATAATACAAATAAGTAATACTCGACTAAATCAGAACAACCGGAGTTGACCCTCAGCGGTCGCTCACTGACGCCTTGCTGGCGAACCACCACCGCCGAACGGACGTCGTGGCAACGGTGTGCGTACGTTGGCAAGACGCTGACGCTCGAAATACGTGACTGGGGGGTGTCTCTTAGGCGCACTGCCACTGCGCCCGTCTCCCTGAGACATAAGTTGACAAATCCTATAAGCTTGTAATTTTACCAGCACCCTTACTTCTTTATTGTAAGGCCGACATTATTGTGTGCATGTCAAAGACGACTCACAACACTAGGAAATCGCGTGAAGTCCCCATTAGCCCCCTTTACACAGTCACTGTATAGCGCAAGATTGCACGCGGGAAAGCCTTCACTGCAATCGTGTGCGATTACCTGTTTGAAGTTTTTTAAGCTAACGTTCTTTCGCGCGCGATTGCTCGTGTTAGTTTTTATTACAACGGAAGAGCGTTCGTGTAAAAGGCCACCTTGGAATGCACGATTGTGCGCGTGACTGATGTGTGCAAACGCGCGGTCTTTCCCTTTTCCTTCCAACATCTTTAGACGTGCGCCCAGTCGATTGCTGTACCACGCTAGCATGGCGAAGTGTGGCGTAAACCATCTGTTTAGAGTTAGACCCAATTAAATATTTCGAATGCCCAAGCTACACGAATTGATAGATAATCGTAGCATGCCTGTGAAAAATTCATACTCAAATTTCTTTTAATATTACATAATATTTTTAACTGTTAGTATTGTGAAGCTTTTAAAAAACCTCATGCCGGGTGTGTGCAGGCGCATATCTCGGCGGCTCAATCTCCATAGCGTGCAGATCGCTGTACAGATAACATCGAACATCTTTATTACTAACCGAGCGGCGTTTAGTTAATTTTATTGCATTTAATTGCTTTATTTCCTGTTCATCTCTTTTATTTATTATGGGTACGTCTTATTTAGCTAGCTTCATATGAATCGGGTCATTATCCTTTTTGTAATAAATTGAATTCTTCTTCGTATAACCTCATCATCACCAAACTTAAGAGGTATAGGTTTAACTGCCTCGGTGGCCAAACGGTTACCATGCCGGACTGCCACGCAGAGGTCCCAGGTTCGATTCCCGGGCCGGGAGAAATATTTGTATGGCCTACATTTATTTCTCTCGTGAGTTTGGGTGTAATTTGTGGTTGTCTATGTGTGTGTCCATGGCATCCGCGACACAGGGTTTCCCTAGTGCGGGGCTATGTTGAGTGTGTGCGTTATTATTATCGTATTTATTTTAAACTCTCGCCTCTCCCAAGGCCTAAAAAATTAATTTTGAATTTTTAAATGGGAGAGGCGGTATTTCCCGGCAATGGCACAGTCGGCCGGGGTCAGGGACTCAGGTCCAATAATCGGCGAACAATACGTGCCGTATCGAGCAGGACCGCCTTCTGCATTTGTGCTGGAAGCGACACGCCACAGAAATCCAACCGCCTCAAGCTGTTAGAAAGGCTGACTGGAATTAACCCATTTGCGGACAAAACAATTGGGATTATTTCAGTGGAGGCCACATCCCACATGTCGGTGATCTCGTGCGCCAGGTCGAGATACTTCCGGCGTTTCTCGGTTTCAGCTTTCACGAGACCCTCGTCATGCGGTATGGTGACGTCCACAAGAAATACCCTCGACTGCGATCGATCCAATATCACATATCCATTATTATTATTATTATTATAGGTATTCTTGTAGGTGGGGCATGTTGCTATCATCTTTTCTATAAGCCAGCTCCTTGACCTCCTTATATGACACTGGCCTTTTCCTTTATTTGGTAGCTACGCCAAGATCGACCTCCTCCCCCCTTCCCTTCGATTTTTCCCTCCAAAATGGTCTTAAAGAAGTTGTTATGTCGTATCAAATGTCTAATCATTTTTCCGCGTCTATTCTCTATAGTATAACCTATGTCATGAAAATTGTGTAGACACACCTACTGTATTTGTTTGACGTGCTTTTGGCCGTAAATGGGCTGTTTAGTATGACCAGGTAGGTAAAATAAGAAAATTCCATATTTGGTAAATGTCCTACCATGGCGAGGTGGCTTCAAACAACGCGAGTCGTTAAGAGTAACATCTCATAAACAGAGTGTCGTTAATAACGCATTGTCGCCAGCGCCATCTATGGGCGGAACGCATAAAACCGTTTCGTTTAGCACTACGTTAAAATTTATGGAAATGTTCCAGGTTTGTGTAGGTGTAGACTTCTATGAATAGGAAGCCTCGTATGACCTTTTTTGGAAATTGCAATACTTTCTGATAATATACCAGCATTCACCGTGTGTCATTCGACCATGCATTTAAGGAGACCGATATCATGACTGTAGTATCACAGTACATTTACTCGAATATATATATAATTTCATTAAGAAAGATCCATAATATTAACCTTAGAGCTTAAGCCAAACTCATGGTACCACGATTTCGTTTAAACAATGTACACGAATTTATGGGGAACTGCATTCGTTTTAACAACAAGATTCCGGGGCATATATTAAGATTCTTCTTTCCTAAATTTAAAAACTATATTAAAATTTTTTTAATTGAAAAGTCTAATTACAAAATTGAAGACTATGTGTGAGATAATGATGTATGGTAAGATAATGAAGACGACATGGCTCTAGATTCCACACAAATTTTATTCAAAATGTATTCCATAGCATTTAAGTTTATTTGAAAAGAGCAATCCCTAGAGTTTCTTGCCCGTTCTTCTCAGGGAATACAGCGTAATTAACGAGCAGTAGCTTAAAAGTGACGTTTTCAAGTGTAAATTTATTTTAACTATAGAATAAATGATTCTATGACTTAACACTGTTCACAGCACATTTAATTAAACCTACTATAGTTGCTTCTAATTTCGCCACAAATTAGTTTTCCTCCAATTCGAGCATTGCGAATGAATATTAGAATACAATCTTTACATTGTCTATGTGTGCGAACTATTTCTTGTCGTTTCTGTCTTGTTGTCCACGACTAGAGATGGGTTTTAACCCGGCGCTTCGTTAACGCCGTTAAATTCCATGCCCAAAATCATGGGCATAAACCATTTACTACTAAATATTTGTTGTTAATCGAGTCTAATTTTATTTATAAATATTATTATAAAATGTTTGTTGCTTCCTGATCTAAACACTTCGATTTGCCTTTCTATTGAATTGGCTCGGTTGAAAATCGAATTTAAAACCCGGGCGGGTTGATTGGGTTTTAACCCACTGCCCGTCTCTGTCCACGACTCCTTGATATTCCAAGGGAACAATGTTGTTAATTAGATTTTTCTATTGTTACAGCAATACTACAACGCGCTACGTACAAGGTTGGCCTCCTGACGATCCAGGGGGTATCAACATGTCTCTATCTCTGCATGGATGCTTGCGGGTTCCAGTACGCGCATGTACGTATGTGGTTTGAAACTTAGCATTTAAGTACACCTCCTCCCAAACTTCGTTTTCAAAGTCGAGTCCTTTCAAAGAATTTTGTGAAGACGAAAATAATAAAAAGTTGAAAAGATTTTAAAAATATTGTTTTTAAAAGCACCATAGACAATACAATATTTTAAAAGAAAAAATCTTTATTTTTTTTTTTAATTAGTAGCAAAACCGCATGGACTTTTTAGCCAACCCATTAGTAATTTACTTATTCTTATTTCGTAGACTCAAACTATTATAAAGACATATGACGTAGAGTGCGCGATGGAATATACCTCAACTGGAATTCCCTGCCTGCGGGCTTATTGGACGTTTTCAAAGCGAGAGTGAATAGGCATTATTTAGGTATGCATATTGCATCGTCACTTTCCATCAGGTGAGATAGAGGTCAAATACTCACCTCTTTTGTATAAAAAAAAATCTATATGAAGAAGAGTACAAACACAAAGTGGTGAAGATACAATTTATGACCACTCAAGTAACACCATTTGTTGTCTATACTTAAAACAAAAGAGATCAATACACTTTTATTTCACTGTTTACTGGATTTCCCGCTGAACGAGCCGTGTAATCGATTTACTTTCAACACAAACCTGTTCAATATCATCGCACACCGTGACGCAACAAGTACACAGAAGCCGTATCATAAACTTTTACACGGTGCACGGGAACACGTTCCCTAACCACAGTAATAAAATAATTACCTACACTTAGCGCCGTCTATTGGGCTTAATACGTGTCACAATACATATTCGTATTCATTTTGTTACGGGTTGCGTGTCGCTTACCACCAAGCTCACGACCACAAAACAATAAGTACAGTAGAAGTGGTTAGTTAGCATCGGTCGCGTGCCAACTATAGGTCTCGAAAGACCTATCTGAGCTCAGTCTGCCATTTTCGCTTTGTATGGTAAGGTTGTGGTTTCGTTGTGTAAATTCTTTCGTGCAAATTCTCTAAAATTCTAGAAAAATTCCTTATTTTCCTTTATTTGGAGTGCAAAAGTGAAAGCCGCACCAAAAATATTACACGTTGTGGTATTTCATATCTTCGAAATAATTTTTTTGTTACAAGAAACGAAAGTAAAGCTTATACCCTTGCAATATAGTCGCTTCTTTAACTAAATTAATAACACGTTGTCGTTCAGCAATTAACCGCTAGATGGTACATTGATATAACTGCCTCCGTGGCCGAACGGTTACCATGCCGACCATGGTTACCATGACTGCCACGCAGAGGTCCCAGGTTCGATTCCCGGGCCGGGAGAAATGTTTATATGGCTTACATTTATTTCTCTCGTGAGTTTGGGTGTAATTTGTGGTTGTCTATGTGTGCGTCCATGGCACCCGCGACACAGGGTTTCCCTAGTGCGGGGAATTATGTTGAGTGGAAATTACGACGGGAATTATGTAGTCCACTTTTTAGGTAAATATACCCCAATATATTCCGATCATTACTTTTACAAAAGTTGATTTCCTAATCAAATCTATATTTGGAAAGTTACACACAATACACACGCACATTATAATAATGCTAACATTATAATAATGTTATCGCTAACAGTAATAGAGGAGGAAGAAAATGGAGGATTTAGTTTCTAACTTATAATATTTTTTATACCTATAACCTTAGAATAATAACGCATAGAAACCTAGTCCGCACACGCTAAGTGAGGCAAATTGAAGCGCTCCCAAAGGGCGCACGAGCGGGCGGGCCTTCAGTGCTTAAGGTGAACTTGCACCGCGAACAGCTCCAGAATCTTAGCTAAAATGACGAAATGTGCGGTAAATGAGTGTAAAAATACGTCAGACAAACATAAAATAGATACTAACATCACATTCCACAAGGAAGTAACACGTTTCAACTTGTGTTTTTATATAAATATTCACTAAAACCGAAAATTAACCTACTACTAAAACTAGCCTACATGAATTTGATTTTTGCCTCACTTGTGACTGTTCGTTTGATATGAAACTATCATTCTATGCGTTATTATTAAGCCTATGACAATAAATCGCGTAGCTACAAATGTTAGGAATAAGAATACGGCACTGGTAACACAACTATACGTCCTGCTTTCTCAAAACAGAACACATGTCACAATAAATTTTTAAAAATGGCGCGTTTGCGAGAAATATTTAAAACCAATCAGATATCGAGTATCACACTACACCAGGTTAGGTCTCTTTTTAAATGTTTGATTCAATAAACAATTTTACTTACTTACTTCGGTGACGCAGTGACCCAAAGTGGGTCTTGGCCTCCGACACTAGATCCTGTCACGCCTCCCGGTTCTGAGCCTGCTCTTTGCGGCCACTAGCACCGAGGTCATTGAGGTCTTTCTGAACTTTATCGCTCCAGCGGCGTCCTTTCGGTTGTCCCAAATAAAACTTCTTCGCGGCACGAACCTCTCCAATTCTCCGTCCGTGTCCGAGCCAGCTTCTCGCGCCGGGCCTCACGGCTTAAAGGACCGTCCCCTAGGTGGTGGATGGGTGCAAGGTCGTTAGTACAGCTTAGCTGTAACCGACTAAGTCCGAAGGACTCTCTAACCAAAGTAGGACGTGTTCCAACAGCATTTTGAGGGTTATGCAGGGAGTTAACACTTCACCCATGTAAAAAGTATAATGTTACGATACCAACCACAGAAACAATTTTAGTTGGATAATAAACATGTAATAAACATGGATTTTATTTTTAAAACAATAATAAATTTGCAGGCATCCCTCTGAGAGAAAAAAATAATGGTGACGTTAGGCATAGTCTATCTGCCAGTAGGTACACGTTATAGGATAGCAATCTATCATCATTTGATGGATAGTTACTGACCAATAGATCGGTAGATAGTAGGTTCCTAAGCATCCCGTATTTATACAACTTCACTCAATAAAAAACTTATTTGTTTCCTAATGTTCCTACAGATAATGACGCCTACGTATAATTCGTGCAATAAATATTTTCCGCCAAATAAGAACAAATTGAACTGTATTCAACGGCGTTAGAGGCTAAAATTCTTATTAAGTTCCGAAATAAAATCTATTCGTTGATATTTTTTATGACAATAAAGCATTTTATGTATCTCCACATGATGCTATTGTTAATTGAAATGTTTGACAAGTTATCTATTCCAGTTGCGACATCAATAGGTTAAGCTTCTGTGGGTGGCGAAATCATAAGTGTGTACAGTCAACAGTTCTAATATCGCCTCCAGTGCAACGGAACAAGACCCGTCATTATGTAACTCGATTTGCTGCCGTCTGTACAAGTAACGTCTGCTCAACTGTTTCCATTTTTTTAGAAGATTTTTTTTGTTTAAATTGTCACATCCGCACATATAAATGTGACATACGCGCACGCTAGCACACACACCAAACACACAAACACACACACACATACTCACTCTTCTATTCATTTCTTTTAAACTTTTTTGGTAGGAATCTAGAGTCGCGGGTGCCATAGACACATAGTACACCCAAACTCACGTGAGAAATAAATGTAGGCCATACAAACATTCCCCCCGACCCGGGAATTGAACCCGGGACCTCTGAGTGGCAGACCAGCATGGTAACCGTTCAGCCACAGAGGTAGTTAAATAATAATTAAACTTGCTTAACATTTTTTTTATGATATAAATGTGACAGGCCGAACAACTCGTGGCCCCAACTACAGTTATTTATACAACATATATACTTATACATATAGTTATTTATTATGTGGCAGTGCCACTCAGAGATTTAAATCGCAAAGATCTTATGGGCACAGCCACTGAGACATAATTTGACAAGACCCATGTGCCTGTAATCTCACCAGCACTTTGACGCTTCTAAACCGGAACGCAGTAATGCTAACATTACCCTGGGCGAACTCTTTCACAAGGCGCTCTACTGCTTGCAATAGGTGCTCTGCCACTACGCCCTTCGCCCTGAGACAAAGCTGACATGTCCCATTTTCCTGTAGTTTCACCAAAAGTAATGTACGAATATATATATTGTACCAATTTTAGTTGACGTTAGTCGAGTGTGTAACACGGTTCCCTCAGTCAAATTGACGTCTCAATGCAAGCAGCGCTAAACGCGGCGCATCATTTATCTTCGTCAAGTTGTTCATTTACACCCTCTACCGATTGCGCGATGCTTAATATTGTTTGCACTATATACGTCGGCGCCAACACACAATAAGCAAAAAATATTGTCAAATGCATTTCGTTACTTACGCGAGATATACCTAACATCAATTTGACTTTTCTCATTTCTCCCCACCATACTGGTTTTGTTTTCAACTCATTTACACTTCAGGCAATACGACTGTGGGACTCTCTGGCGTCCATATTCAAAATGCGTCGAATAGGCTAGCTTCCAAGCAATTAGTCCGCAAGTCTCAATCTGCTTCATATTAGTCTGACATTTATACATATATCAGTGGCGAGGCGTCCATATAACTCGATTATAACCGGCTTGCCTAAAGTTTTCCACATATTATTGAATTTTAAATTTTTAGTGTAGAATAAGTTAACCAGTATAATGAAGTATACTATAGTACCTTGTGTGGTAAAAGTTGTGTTTAACTGTCGCCAAGGCGCCACTTTTTTATAAGGTACGTTTTTTGTTCCGGCTTTACTAATAACAATTTTCACGTATCACCATTGACATATATATATATATATATATATATATATATATATATATATATATTTTTTTATTATTTTTTTTTTAAAAACACTGTACAAAACACTGAAGTACAATTGGCGGACTTAATCATGATATAACTTATCCAACAGATAAGTTATATCATTATGGAATACAGGGTAAGAACCACAAACTTCTCACCTCGTTCTTATCGGATCGGAAGCAAGTGGTAAAATTATCCTCGAACGGTAAAAGACTGGAGTTAGGAATTCCTCAAGGGTCAATACTCAATACTCAATACTCAATATATTTATTGCATTCATATGGTAAACATGTCTTAAAGTTA